GAGTTACATGGTGTAACCCTAATAGCCACCATATAAAAGAATCCCATGGCTCAAGAAATCGTGCACTAAGGAGTGAGTGTGAGGGCTAGACGATTTCAAGGAGTGTTCAAGTTTCTCTCAAGTTATTCCAAGTGTATTTGGTGTTGTGTGAACCATTTGAGGTGTCACACTTGGGGCACTAGGCACTCAAGCTTTATGAAGACATTCTACATCAAAGAGGCATGTATTCTATCTTGTTATATTTATTATTTTTTGTATGCTAGATTAGGATAATACCTTGGATGTTCATAATTATATGTATAATAGAGAAAACATAGATCCAAGGTATTTAGGGTTGCATGTACACTTAGGAGTGTTAGAATGCTCATAACCCAACACTTCCTTCCCGAAGGATTCTAAGGGTCCACAGACCTTGGGTTCCGAATGAACCCCTAACTCCCCCCGCGACAAGTCAGGCCTGAAAGGCCCCGGGACGACTACCGAGGGCTCCCAAAGTCCTTTCCCTGACTGAACGAAAGACCACAAATGTCCATCCTCCTAAATCTGAAAGTAATCTCTGATGAGATGAACTTCTGCGATCACGCATCGACTGGTTCAGAGCCGGAACCCGAATTTGAGTTTCGTTCTTGGATGCTTAACACCATACCAAACTGACATTCCAAAGATCTGAATATACCCAAGAATCCTTATCACCTTTTGCTGACATGACCAACCCTGCCACACCTGTAGCAGCCTAAACCCTTGGAGCGACAAACTCCTTTGTGCACTTTCCCGCATGTGTCGCACTGACTCCGGCCCTGCTGACCTTTCACCTGATGATCAGAAATCATGGGTCTCTTCCTGGGACCCTTTACTATACGCACCTAGCACGAACCCCTCTTCTCAAAGTGCTCCAAATCGATCTCGCATCTGCAACCTCGTGGAACTCATACCCTTCAGGGTTTGATACCCTGCCACACTCACTAACTCACTTGCCAATGGCTAAGCTGCATCAACTGGAATATCCTCTATCCCCAAACTGGGTCACGAACTCTTCCCTGAAGCTTCTCAGATTATCCAAGACTCTCACCGATTAGAGTATGGATCATGTGCTTTCAGTAGTACGAGCCCAATACTACCTTCCACACCTATCCATACTTTCCTCAGCAATCCTCCTAAATCCTCCAAGTCACTTCCTCAAACTGGTACACCCAAGTCTCACTAAGCCTCACCACTAACCCACTGAAGCATATCCTAGGCTTTCCTAGGTTCCCGAACTCACCCAGTCCTCAACTGCTGAAAGATTCCCAGTAATGTCAGCCAGCTACCTCATGAATATAGTTAGCTCACATTACTAAGAGTCCCACAAAGCAAGCAACATTCAGACCATGGAAAATATAACCATCATATTCCAATCAAACCTTTCTATCCTCTACTCAGGGATCTGTACATTCGATTCAAAGGCTCATACAATCAGGCATAACCTAAACAGGCTATCCTATTACCGACTGATCAGTACTAGCATGCAAGTCTACAAGCACATACAATAGGCATATAAGACATCCTTCCTAGATCCTCTTCCCTAATCTAGCATGCAGTTCTCATAGTCATATCACATCATAGAATAACATAAGATAACATGTATGGGTATCTTGGGGAAAACATACTTGAGCTCGGCTGATTGCACGCATCACACACCTTGTTCTTTTCTCGTTCCAAATTCTTTTCAAATTCTTGTTATAAAATGATTTTCTTTTGAAAATTTTCATACCAAGTCCTTAGTTTGAGTTTAGACACACCCGAGAGTGTGCCCGAATCCCTCAAACCAAGGCTCTGATACCAACTTGTAACCACTACAATAAAAAGACCCTTTTACGACGTGCAAACCACGACACTCATTAATTTATGTTACGCAAAAGAGAGTGACATTAAAAAAGTGTCATCTCTTCAAAAAATTTAAGGATTTAGGTCACGCATTTTTGCGTGCCCTTAAATTAGTGCCATAAGAAAAAAAAATACGGAGGGCGCTGTATCTTAAATGCGCATCCTCTATAAGTGTCGCTTTATAATTTTAATGAAAGGCGCGTTTAGTAGATACTGGGGGAAAATGAAATCCCCAAAATTTGAAGACCCGCCCTCTTTTTTATCCTCCACTTTTGTTTCCCTCTTGCCCTAATTATGATGCTAATGGTTTCGCCACAAAGTTCCACCGTTTCAAACTCGCAGATGATAAGTTTCCATTGAAGAAGACGACTGTAAAACACAATCATGGTTTTCGATTAGGAATCGGTAGGGAAGCATGATAAAATGGGGATAAATCGTGTACCTTTGAAAGATCTAACTCCCGAAGAACCAAAAACCCTGACTCTCAATCTACTTAAGAACATGGATCCCAATGATTCACATACGATAAATCACGAGGTTAAATCGTGGTTGAAGTCATGTACAAACCCTTCGGAGAAGACCAGATGCTGACTAACGTTAAAGAAGTTAGTGCGATGTAGAAAGCTCCAGTGGGAACTTCGGAGGGCGGCGGCTTGCTTGCTATAATCCATGAAGGCGAAAATCTCGAAGGAAAACATCATACAAATCCTTCCGTTTGTGTGCTTTTCCATGGCGAAGAAAAAAGAACTAAGGTTTGTTTCCCCAATTCAAAATTTACGCTAACTGCTTCTTAAATTGCATGTTATTTTACAGTGTTTTTGGGTGATTTACAGCCGATGAATTTTGTAAACCCTAAACTTCGATTGTATGATTTAGGGTTTTAATTCTTCTGTTTTTTTCAGGAATATTTGGGTTATGTTCGAAATTGTCATTGTAGGAAGTAAGGGCAGTGGAAGATGATGAAGGGCCTTCAACGGTGCTTTGTTTATTACACTGTACGTATCAGTTCTAGAGTTCTTATAAAAAAATTAGGTCATCTGTACCCTTGTAAGCAAGCATTTGATTATTTACATGCTTTTTACTATGAACTTTTTAAATATAATTTATGTTTGATGTTCCTATAGGAGGTTTGAGGGGAATTCTTTTGAAGGTTCAATACCACCTTCATTTTCTAATCTGACCCTTTTACAGGAGCTGTAAGCCTTTATCAAATGATTTGGAGGAGTGGCATCAAAACCCTGAGTCTTTCCACCATGAGCAAGATGCAGTTCTTTGTTTTATTTCACAATCATAGCCAAGTAGGTTTAAAGTTAATTAACATTTAGTTTTTTTTATTTCCCATTTTTGATTTCTTTTTGTGCTTCCAGCTGTTAGGACCTGTTGTTGTTTCAATTCGTCAAGAGGCAATGAGTGTCTGTCTTCCTTCAGTAACTATATGACTTTTTTACCCTTCCGGGCTTTTTTAAAAGATGTTGCTTATGGTGCAGCTTCATATATTTATTATAAGCTGTCAAATTATCTCAGCTTTAAGTATTGGTGTGACTTTTTACCCTTCTAGACTTGATATATCTGTTATCTATATGATACCTAGACCTTGTTTCTTTTTTTCCCATTGAGTGTTTTGATTTTTTTTATCTAGAATATTTTTTTAAGATGAGTTATACTTTTTTTTGTGTGAAATTTCTTCAGGTTTGACAATACTTTATCATTGGGACTCACAAATGATCATCCCAACATGCAGATTATACATAGGAAAGTTCCCCTTATTCTTGGTCAATGGGTTTCTGAGGTAATCTTATTGCGTTCTTGATTTTTTTTAAATAATACATTTCCTATTTTGTTGATTTAAATTATTCCTTACACAAAGCTTAAAACTAATGAAAACTTATATACTTTTTTCATGCAAATGACTATGTTTATATATACATAACTAAGTACAAACTCGTTTTAGTGTCCACAATAAATACAAAGTTCAGTTGTGTTTGGTAATTCTTTGTCACATTCTTTGTTTTATTATTTTCTTTTTTGTAATTTGTTTTCGCAGATTAAAGATGACACCAAACGACTAGTCTATTGTGCTCTCATCAGGTTGCTGCAGGACAGAGACTTGTGTGTTAGGGTATAAAGTATAATTCGGCCTTTTTTTATAATAAAAAGATTCCATTTTTTTACAACTGCTTTATGAAGCCAAATTATACAATTATCTCCAGGGAATAGGTTAGTAAATGTAACATTTGCTTTGCTTAAGCACAAATACTTATATACAATATGTTCTCTAATTATAATTCTTACTTTCATATCCTGCAGTTGGAATTGCTGGCATCCATTGGTCTGGGGTTGATGTTTAGGACAATGTGCTTGTTCTTGACCTTCTTGGGCCTAGTCTTGAGGATCTATTTGTGTATTGTAGTCATTTCATATATCTGGTTAATGAGTTCATTCGTAGCTGTTTTAAATGGCAATATCCAACCAATCTTTCATGAGTTTTTTTTTGTTTTGTTTTGGTTCTTGCTTCTCACAACACATATTTTCAGGTTTTCTATGTATGGTTTGATGCACCTATTGGATACGTGTCAATTACTAAAAGCTACACACCTGAATGGGAGAAGTGGTGGAAAAATCCTGAAAATGTGGAGCTGTATCAGTTTATAGGAAAGGATAATGTTCCATTTCACACTGTAAGTGTATTTTTTTAAGGTACAATTTCTTCATTATTATTATTCGTAGCTGTCTCTGCAAAAAAAAAAAAGAGTCTTAACTCTTAAGTCCTTAAGCCCTTATAGTCATGTAAGGGAATTTTGATTATTGACATTTTGTAATCTTTTTTGTTTTACATTCCTTTGAAGAAAATCTATATAGAAATAGTGTTAAAACTTAAAACTATACCTTGTGTAGTTGTGTTTACACATAATATAGAATTTTCATATGAAGATTCATTCATTCCATTTCATTTTGTACTACTATTTATTGTTCCTTCCACTAATGGAGAATCTTCCACATAGTTATTTCCATGACTATTTCTTCATATTGTACTTCAAATCTCTCGTGTAAAACATTTTACTATTTCTTCATGAGTATCCTAAAATATTTATTGTTTCATTTTTAATTTTATATTCAACTTTGAAAAATAATATTCCAGGTAATTTTTCCTTATACACTTATTGGGACTGAGGAGAGCTGGACTATGATGAAGACTATTAGTGTTACAGAGTACTTAAATTATGAAACGAGTTTGCTCTTATTATGGTTTTGGCCTTAAATATGTTGCAACTTGCAACAACATATTGTTAATTAATGTTTGAATTCTATGTGTAGGTAAATTATCAAAAAGTAAGGGTGTAGGTGTATTTGGAAATGATGCAAAAGAGGCAAATATTCCTGTAGAAGTATGGAGATACGATTTGTTAACAAATAGACCTGAGGTATGACATTTCATTTATAATGTTCTTGAAAACTATAGCCAATTATAGCAATATAGCTACATTGCTATTTCTTGCATTTAGGCATTGTTCAGTTTGTTTATTTTTTCTCTTTTTCTTTATTTTTATAGGTATCAGACACGTTATTTACATGGGCAGATTTAAAAGCGAAATTAAACAGTGAATTGCTAAATAATTTAGGAAATTTCATAAACCGTGTCTTGAGCTTTATAGCTAAAGAATCATGTTTAGGGTAACAAATGGTAAAATCTTTAAAGATATGCTTTAATTGCCTTTCATCCATAACTTTTGGATAACAAATAGTCTGCACCAGTCAATTTAGTTCTAAATGTTAGTTTGCAATAATCTTTCCACGGCTTACAAGAATAGAACTGATGCATGCTAAAGGATTTCTGCATAGAGACTTGAAACCAGATAATTTTCTCATGGGTCTAGGCAGGAAAGCAAATCAGGTAATTTCCACTGTTATATATATCCTACAATACAACCTTGTTTTCATATCCTTCTGTTTGTATGTTGCTGTGTTTTTTCTTATATTTTATTGGTTCTTATATATATTTTCTTACAATATATATCTATACAGAGCAAACAAAAACTTGACAGGGACTGCACGTTATGCTAGCTGTAATACCCATTTGGGAATTGGTATGCATTCATTTCTGCATAATTCTTTTTAAAATTTGATATTTTTATTTGCATTTTCTCTTATACAATATTTTTTTTTATAAATTCAGAACAAAGCCGGCGTGATGACTTGGAGTCTCTGGGCTATGTTTTCTTGTACTTTTTGAGAGGAAGGTATGTGCTTAAATATTTTAATTGAGTATATTGTGAAATCTAAAAAAAATAAGCTTTTTGTTTTTATTTAATTTTTTTGCAGTCTTCCATGGAAGGGTCTAAAAGGTGCAACAAAGAAGCAAAAATATGACAAAGTATGTGAAAAGAAAGTATCTACTCCTATTGAGGTATTTGTGAAACAATATACAAAATATAACTTTTTTTATAGGGATAGTTGGCTACTGCTAAAATAACATTCATATTTAAATTGTTTTAGTGGACTATAAAAATAATTTTTAATTTGTTTGACAGGTTTTATGCAAGAATCATCATGTGGAGTTTGCCTCTTACTTCAAATATTGCAGATCTTTAACATTTGATCAAAGACCTGATTATGGATTCTTGAAGCGCCTTTTTCGTGACTTATTTACGCGAGAAGGTATATCCTTTATTCATATAATACAATCTTATAGAAATTTAACCACATTTATGCTGTAAATTTTGTATAACATTGTATCTGATGCTTAAATCTTGATATTGTTTTTTGATTAATATGATGTTCTACTTATTTCAGGATTTGATTTTGATTACGTATTTGAATGGACAATCTTAAAGCATCAGCAGTCAGAAAAGAATAAACCACAGAATCATTCAACTGTTAGTGTTTTCATTACCATTTGTTCTTTACGATTCTAATAGCATTTACTTTTATGAATATTGAATAATTATTTATTGATTTCTACGCTTATTTTCCCCATTAAAATGTTGTGTTTTTGTTAATCACAATCTTAGGATCTAATTGACTTATGATTATTACATTTTTATACTAATCCTTGTTTCAGTCACTCATGGAATCTAACAAGGCGTTGACAGAAACAAATAACATGAAATACATGTTTTGGAGCTTGAATTCCAAGGTGTCAATAATTCGATGATGAGTTGGTTCTAAGACATTGTTGCCTGGTGTCGATTTCTATCAATGATGGTCCTGGATGTTTGACTTTGAGATGCCCAATTCCATCATGTGGTGCTGCTGTTGATGTGGACATGGTCAATATGAATTGGTAAATGTCCAAACTACCCCTTCCCCCTTGTTACATGCTATCTGTCTCTCTGTACATATCTTTCTTGTTTTGATGTTTGTATAATGATTTTTCAAGATTCTAGCAAATTCTAAGCCTTGTCCAAAATGCAAGCATCCAATTGAGAATAATGTAAATAACATCACTTTTAAAGCACCATTTGAGATTCCAGCATCTTTGAAAGTCAAAGATGAAAAATAGAGAACAGCATTAAGGCCAGCAAACTGTTAAAGTACAAAAAGACTGCCTCCAATCAATGCCACTACAACATTAAAAGAGTAAAACAATTGTAATTCATTTAAAATTTTACATACAAACACAACACAAAATATTAAAACAATAATGCTACCTTTAGAATGTGGCTCTTCTAGAAGTTCTGACCATCTGCTGTCCTAATCACCACCATCATTTTTAAGAACAGACTAAAATTCTTCAATGCTTTTATCAACTTCCTATGGGCCCCACAAGTTAAAGATAACTTCTTTAGCTTTATCAAGCCTCCCATCCTTCACAATCAATCAATACAATCTTCTGAAATCCAGCATGTCAGTGAGCTCTTTCACTTCAATAATTAAAATAATAGTTGAATGTTGACTATTATGTTATTGATTTCAGGAGCAAATGCAGATGACGTTTGTGGACCGAATGGCAAGTGCAAACATTCCATCTTTGGCTGCTATGGAGCAGACCCGAATGCTAGCACACACTTTAGTTCAGAACACCAATCCACAGTTTCAGGTTGCTTTACTTACTTTGAATTAAAATGTCTTTTTTGTTTTTATAATCAGGATATTATTTATTTGGTTTGGAAAATAATATGCAGAACTCCAAGTTCCTTCAGTTTGTTTCAAAGATGAGTCGTGGGGAATTGACGATTGAGGATAACCAAGCCAGGCCTACAGGTGGGGACTGGGCAAATGAATATCTTAATCTTATCTACAGGTATCCAATGATCAATGTGTATGAATGTGTTGGACAAAAAGATTTCATTTTCAACCATGTGTATTATTAATTAGTTGTTACATACATACATACCATGTGTATTATTAATTAGTTGATATTGATATTGTACAACTTAGATGATTATTGTGTAGGATTTCCGTGTTGTTCTTGATCAAGAGTTGGGATTGATATTGAAGCTATGAGACATGATGATTGGTTGGATACATGAAGGGTTTCAGAGCTTCTTAAGACAGGTTAATGATGAGTTACTTAAACAAGAAGGTGCCTCTTTATAGCAATGTAGTAGTAGGTTATATAGTTAGGGAAAACCTCTTGATAACAATGTACAATCGGATCCCTTTAATACCAATGTATTGCAATTTTTTGACATGATGTTATTGGATGAAATTTATTGTTTTGGTATATATTTGTTTCTATATTTTTGTATTATGCGTAAAAGAGTATCGTAAAGGCACGTCGTATATGAAAATCGTAAATGGTTGCTGAAGTTTATGACACGCAAATGCGTGTCATCTTCATTTATGACAGGGACTTTAATGATACGCAATGCGTGTCCTAAACGCGCGTCGTATAGTTACGACACGCAAATGCGTGTCGTTTTCCTTTATGACAGGGCCTTCCTTGATACGCATTGCGCGTCGTAAATGCGCGTCGTGAATGGGCGTCGTCTATAGACGACGCGCAAAAGCGTGTCGTCTCTCATTATGACAGGGCCTTCCTTGACACGCATTTGCACGTCGTCTGAGCATTTTACGACACGCATTACGCGTCGTAAAAGGCTGTTTTTCTAGTAGTAAACATCCCAAAATTCAAGGCCAAAAATTTCATTTTTAAATAAGTTATTATAAAACCAAAAGTATAAGAAAACATCCATAATATTATGTCATGTCAAAACCAAAGTAAAAATAATCAAAACATGTTGCCATAAAAAATATCAGAGTGTAATCTCAAAGATCTCATGTGCGAAAAACCATAGTGTGATGCGCTGCGATCGAGCCGGCTCCTTTCCTTTGAAAACGAAGTACTTGAAACCAAAACTGAAAACTGTAAGCACGAAGCTTAGTGAGTTCCTCCATCATACCACATACCATACAATCACATAGCATACATACTACCGGGCAATTCCGGGGTGTCCGACCTACCCATGTCAAGACATACTGGGGTGCTGCCTACCCGTGTGAATCCATTTTGGGGTGTTGACTACCCTCCGGTCTATCTCACCCGTTCACGGGGACTATTTCACCCCCTACTACTATCACATAATAACATATCATAAACATGCTGTCAGACATATCTGGGGTGTTCGACCTACCCTTCGGTCCTAACAACCGATCGGGGGACTATTCCCCTCCTACTACCACAATCACATAGAACATAATATTCTGGCACATAGAACACATCAAGTAATAGCAAACCAGACAATTATCACAAAGACAATCATCTCAATTGTAATCAACTACTAGTGGGTCGGCCTTGGTGCCTTAGACCCACTTCTACATGAAGGTAACTCTCCTCACACTGCTGAAGTCCCGCAGACATAACCCCCAGTTGCTGGATGATAGATTCCCGAACTGTCAATATCAAAACATCACCCAATTAATAATTGGGTTCCAACACATA